ATTTATTTGGATTGATTATTTTTACTTGTTTTGGCTTATTTATGCTTATTTTTATTAGTTCTAACGGTAATTTTAGTGGGGGCGATTTGTTAATTTGTTCATTTATTTGGATTGAATTTTATTAGTTTTTTCATTGTGTATATCTTTATTTATTCTATTTGGTTTTTGATTTTTGAGTAACGTAGTGATGTTTTCTCTCAACGATATATAGCAATTACTGCTATTTTTACGTTCTCCCGCAAAATTAACCACCAGAATAGATTACCCACAATGCACCACTGAACTATATATATAAATAGCCGAGGAAATATCCAGCATTCGCGGCCTGACGATTGCGTCCAACATGAAACAGCCTCTGTCTATATTTCTGAGATGAGATATTATGTACACTATTTACATTGTTCGGACTATTGTCCTCATCTTTGTCGCCATATCTATTACAACGTTTCAGCCTTTCAGTATCTGTCTATATTTCTGAGATGAGGTATTATGTACACTATTTACATTATTAGGACTATTGTCCTCATCTTTGTCGCCATATTTATTACAACGTTTCGGCCGTTGTACGCTCCGGCTTTCTTCAAGGGGTTGGAATGTCGAACTGAACCATTTATTTCTCTCACTGTGGTAAACTGTTCTAGTTCCACGTGCCATGTTTAATGGATGTCAGTTATCAGTTATCTTCTGTTAATTTTCCCTCTGAAAGTTCTCCACTGCCTTAACAGGGTATTGAACTTACACTATTTGGGTCCTGTCGCTTAATCTAACTAACGCCTTTATCCACTGTGCAGAGTAGATAAAGGTGTGTGAGTTCAAGTACCCGGCTAAGGCAGTGGAGAACTTGGAGAGGGGAATTAACAGGAGATAACTGATAGCTGACATCCATTAAACATGGCATGTGGAACTAGAACAGTCTACCCCAGTGAGTGAAATAAAGGATTCAGTTCGACATTCCAACCACCTGAAGAAGGCCGGAGCGTACAACGGCCGAAACGTTGTAATAAATATGGCGACAAAGATGAGGACAATAGTCCAAATAATGTAAATAATGAAACAGCCTGACGCCTCAGAGTGTTGACTTCAATGTTCACTATATATATATATATATATATATATATATATATATATTTTACATTTTTTAAATACGACATCGATTGCTTATTTTACTTCTTCATTTATTCTTATATTTTTCTTGGTTCATTACATTATACTTTTTTGTTCTGCATTTATAATCTTTATTTATTGAAGTACACATTTGTTTATTTTTGAAACCGATGTATACATCGATTGGTTCATTTTAAAATAAGTTTTATTTAGCAAGTTTAATTTATTAAGAATATCTCGCTAAGAATGAATATATTAAGAATATTTAATGCATTGTATTTGCTAAATTACATCGACATAAAAAATTCTACTCGATTTGTATTTAAGCCTAACATTTCTCTTTTTTTTTTGTATAAAAGAGGGCGTAATTTTAGAAATTGTAGGAAAAATATTTCGTTTTGTAAAGTTTGTTTTGTTTGTCTCTGACTATTGTTTCAGTATCGTTGATTTCTTTCTCTATCATTTATCATTCAAACATTTTAACAACATTTGTCTATAATTTTATTCTTTTACCTTTTTTGTATTTATTGATTGTAACGTAACATTTTTTATAGACAAGGTTGTATTTTTCAAATTTGTAGGAAAAGCGTTTCCATTCAGAACGTTATTTTGTTTTGTTTAGTACATTTTTTAATTATTGTTTAAGAATAGTCCATTTCTCCTATTAATTATCTTTCAAATATTTTCAGCAAAAATAATAAAGTAAAATGATCTCATATATTTGATAATAATTTTATATTTTTATTCTTTTATTTATTCAGTGATTTCTATTATTATAGGTTAAAATAGATATAATAATAATTCTGAAAGTCAAGTGCTACATCAGATGACGAACTCCGACATCCAGTGTAATATATATATATATATATATATATATATATATATATATATATATATACCGGAGAGATGGAGCTCGTCAGCCCAGGAGAGTAGTCGATCTAACAGAAAGAAAACTTCTATTTCAAATCTCCGCAACCATGGGAAAGGCTTCTGGAGTAAACACTGAGGACAAATCCGGAGGGAGGGTCTCTAAGAGCATTATTAAATATCTCACATTGGGATAACAGAAGATTTGCCAAAAATTCTTTGTGAATTATTTTCTCTTTTAATTAGACTAGCATCTTTTAAGTCAAAATTGTGGTCAATCTCCTTACGGTGAGCAACTAATGCATTTAATGTGCTCTTTTTTTAAAAAAAAATGTCTCCTTTTTCTTCATATAATCTTTTACTTAATCTTCTTGAAGTTTCTCCAATATATTATTTCTGGCAATCGTTGCAGGGTGATAGAGTAAATTCCTCCTTCAACTTTTGGCTCGTTATTTTGTTTTGCATTGATAAGGTTTTTATTGTTTTAGATGTAGATGTGAGAATTTAATGTTGAGTGTAGATAGATTCTTTTCGATTGTAGTTGTGATCATCGGATTCTACTTAAGAGCATTTACAATTTACAGCCCCCAGTATTTGCCCGGGAAAAGGATAAATATATTAAAAATAATTTCAAGACCCTAAAAGACACTATTTCATATTCAATGCGAATCAAAAGGCTCATGAAATAATCCAATATAGAAAAACGGCCACTCCTAAGAAACGATACGAATAAAAAAATCTTTCACAACTATTTCCCGTATTTTTAATTATTAGTTCTTTTTAACTGTAATAGATAGATTTGGTTTGATTGCATTAGCCTATCTATCTATCTATCTATCTATCTATCTATCTCAGTCTCTTCATATCTATCTATCTATCTATCTATCTATCTATCTATCTCAGTCTGTTCATATCTATCTATCTATCTCAGTTTTTTCACATCTAAGTCTTTTCACATATATCTAACAATCTATTTAATTTTTTTTTATATCTATCTCAGTTTTTTCACATCTATCTATCTATCTATCTATCTATCTATCTATCTATCTATCTATCTATCTATCTCAGTCTGTTCCTTATCTATCTATCTATCTATCTATCTATCTATCTATCTATCTTCTCACTTTGTTATGTTCATGTAAAAAACGGCAAGGAACATCTGTCATCTGGTTTTAGTCCAACATGGCATTTAATTTTGTTTCGTCGTTTTATTATATATTTTTTCATTCTTCTTTGTATACCTCTAAATTTTTGCAATCCTGGAAGAGAAAAAAAAAATACGAAGCACAAAAAACAAACAAACAAACAAAAAAAAACAAGAGCAAAACCAAAAATAAAAAAAAAAAATACATATATAAATAAATAAAATATGAAAAACTAAAAACAGTCCATTAAAATAAAAAAAAAACCCCAAAAAAACAACACAAACTCTAAACGGTTTGTGGCTAACTCGATCACACAGGAGGTCAATTAATCAAAATAATTGACAAATTGAACGTAAAGATAGGGTAGGGTAGCAGAAGAAAGAAAACCAGAAAGAGAAAAAAATAAATAAATGAATAAATAAAAATATTTAGACCCGCAATGGCACAAGCAATAGCCGAGATCTTGAAAGGCGGGAAAATATTCCAGTTCCGGTTAATTTAAAAAAAAAAAAAAAAAATGAAAGTATATACATGATTTTTTTTCATGTATTTCAACCTATTTCTCTGAAGCTATTAACTCAGACATCCACCTGGGTGATATAGTTATATATTTTTTGAAAGAAACAGGAGTTTTCGAGCGTACGCAAAATTTAGCCTTTTGAATGCTGATTTCAAGGCAAGCATGTGTGTCCCCCCCCCTCCCTCATATTAAGTAGAAAATAAATCTTGGACTTGACAAAAGGAAAGAGGTTAAAGGAACTATTGGTGTAACATGAATTTCTTATTCTCATTCACAACTGTACCCCTTTTGAAGGACTTATGCTACACAATCTTCTTACATCCATTCTTCCCGTCCCATCTGTCCTGTTTTTAAAATTGATTATTATTATACGTGATAATTTGTGAAGAAAATATATTAATTTCCATTCGCATTTCGAAGGTACGAATCTCCTGGAAGTAGATATTAGACTTTTGGGAGACAGGTAAGTTTATGACCTAAGTTTATGACCTAAGTTTATGACCTAAGTTTATGACTTAAGTTAATTTATTCTCTACCTGTATGTATCGTTTTTTTTTTTTTATTATAACTGATTTTATTTGATTTTTATATTATTTCCCTTTAATTTTATCACCGTACTAAGTAGATGTATTCCTGTATCTTTTCCAGTTCTTCGTCCTTTATTCGAATTATATTTTAGGATATTTATGTGACCGAGTGGTTAGAACGTTCGCATTCTGACAATGAGACCCGGGTTCAAATCTCACCATGGTAGATTTATTATCGTACTAGAAGGGTCGATACCAGCTTGCGGCACCTTTGGGAAATACCTGAAAACCATAGCATGGCTTGGGAGTGAAATTGAGCAGACGGAAACCTTAGGAGTCGTCGATAGCTGTGATAGGGATTGAGTGTGCTGGTCTTCTTCAAAGTGTTGATCACGCTAGATTAACACGCTATTTCCCAGAAACTGTAACTAAGGTCTGCTCAGCATATTTGTGGGTGTTGAATAGAAACACATGCCCTTGAGCCAGCCTCTAGTAGACAAGTATTCTCGAATACAAGTGTCTATTTTAGGATATTTACAAATAAACATTATTTTTGTTTATTTCTAAACTTACCTTGAGGATATTTCGGCTCAAGTAATTTGTTTCTAATGTTTTTTTTTGTTTTTTTTTTTGTAAAAATGATGGAAAGCATTTAACGGCATCTTTAAAAGCATATTGAAAATGTTTTTCTTAAAGATGACGTATTTAATGTGAGCTCATATTTACGGATGGTAAATATAGGACTGCAAATAACAGAAAAAGACCCACATGGGTCAGAGAACAGATCACCATGATACTATTTTGCCAAACATCACTCACCCACCTTATGGAAAGGTCATGTTCTATCTATCTATCTATCTATCTATCTATCTATCTATCTATCTATCTATCTATCTCAGTCTGATCGTATCTATCTATCTATCTAAGATTTTTTCACATATATCTAAGTTTTTCATATATATCTAACAATCTATTTTTTATATCTCAGTTTTTCCCCATCGATCTATATGTCTGTCTATCTCTCTTACGCTGTTCATAACTATATATCTATCTTTTTCAGTTTTTTCATGTCTATTTCATTTTTTTATATCTAAGTTTTTAATATCTGTTTTTTCATCTCTATCTCTCTCAGTTTTTTTTTATATTTCAGTTTTTCCCAGCTATCTATCATACCTTTTCTTATCGATATATCTCAATTTTTCATATCTATCAGTCCGTCTATGTAACAATCTAACTCAGTTTTTCATATCTATCTATCTATCTATCTATCTATCTATCTATCTATCTATCTATCTATCTATCTATCTATCTATCTATCTATCTCTCTCTCTCTCTCTCTCTCTCTCTCTCTCTCTATATATATATATATATATATATATATATATATCTTTATTTATATCTATCTATCTCAGTTTTTTCATATCTATGTATCTATATCTAGTTTTGTCATATCTATCGTACTCTTTTCATATCTATCTATCTATCTATCTATCTATCTATCTATCTATCTATCTATCTATCTCAGTTTTTTCATATCTATTTATCTAACTATATATAGTTTTGTCATATCTATCATACTCTGTTCATATCTATCTATCTATCTATCTATCTATCTATCTATCTATCTATCTATCTATCTATCTATATCTTTATATCTTTATCTATATCTATCTATATCTGTATTTTTCATATCTGTTTATTTTAAGACATTTTAAAGTTAATACATTCTTTTTAAAATAGTTATCAGACTTTGTCCATTTCATAATATCTATTTATCTATCTATAATTTGTTTGTAATGTATGTTTTTTTTTTTGTAAAGTTGATGGAAAGCATTTACCGGCATGTTTAAAAGCAGATTGAAAACATTTTTTCTTAAAGATGACGTATTTAATGTGAGCTCATAATTACAGATGTTAAATATAGGACTGCAAATGACAGAAAGAGTCCCACATGGGTCAGAGAAAAGATCATCATGAGTGACAACATAGAATTTCTTCTTTTATATGCCATACTCCTTAAAAACGTTTGCAAACATGGCTCTCCACAATTTCCTGATTTTATAACTCTTAACAACTTTTGTCTCCTTCACCATTCATTCACTCAAGTAGATGGTGTCGTAGCTTTCCAGTGTCTTGCTTACCTTCCATCTTCCAATCTTCTATATCGGGAATCAAATTTCCTAATCTCTCCTTCCCCGTTATGTAACCCAGAAACTTCAGCTTTTTCTTCCTATGTGTAACTGGCCACGGTGGAGGCACAGTGGAGTAATGGATACCGGCTGGGCTTGAGGAATCGGAGAGCCGAGTTCGAATTCCAGTCGAATCCATTACATTCGCATACGTGCTAATACTCTTGGGAAAGGTGTAAATCTTCTTCTCCCTCCAGCTATGGGTAAATAGCAGGACAGACTGGGTTCTATAGACTTGGATGGTCTACGAGATGGAGAACTCTGAATTCAAACCCGGAGTGGAGCCCCTAAGGCGGATAGACGCCACTTTATGCTACCAAAGTGTATTGGTTTATCCTCTCCTTTAGACTCTGCTAGCAAGGCCGAGAGGGGGAACTAGAAGTCCGGGCAGCCCTAGTTATCTATATACCCCGCCCATGCTCGTAGCGCACCGCGATACTCCATCGACTCTCGAGACAGACGGATGCCGACGACGATAACTGGCCACTCGTATTCGAGGATACCTGTCTACTAGGGCGGCTAGCTAATCCCTATTGCAGACGCTTGCTCAGGCGAATTTCAGCACACCCCCACAGAGACATTTCCCTAGTTTATGCAACTACGCTGAGCAGACTTTATTTACAGTTTCTGGGAGAGAGCGCACGACCAGCACGTTCAAGCCCTCGGCCATGATGACTTGTGACTTAGTGCTAGCACAGTTAACTACGGCCCCCAAGGGTCCCGTCCACCCAATTTCACTCACAAGGCTTGGTGGTATGGTTTTCAGACATTTTCCAAAAGTGACGCACCTCCAGTTCGATAAGATCAGGAACTCTTGTTCCTTAAAAATCGACCATGGTGAGATTCGAACCCGGGTCTAATGGTCAGAATGCGAACGTTTTAACGACGTACCTATGTATCTTCCTAATATTAAATATAAGTGTCCATTTTATTGCCATTGTTTTTCGCCCTTGCCTATTCAAATCTATCTATCTATCTATCTATCTATCTATCTATCTATCTATCTATCTATCTATCTATCTATCTCAGTCTTTTCACATCTAAGTCTTTTCACATATATCTAACAATCTATTTAAGTTTTTTTTATATCTCTCTCAATTTTTTCAAATCTATTTCAGTTTTTTATATCTAAGTTTTTAATATCTATGTTTTTCATCTCTATCTCTCAGTTTTTTTTATATCTCAGTTTTTAACAGCTATCTATCATACATTTTTCTTATCGATCTCTCTATCACAATTTTTCATATCTATCAGTCCGTCTATGTAACAATCTAACTTTTTCATATCTATCTATCTATCTATCTATCTATCTATCTATCTATCTATCTCTCTCTCTCTCTCTCTATATATATATATATATATATATATATATATCTTTATCTATATCTATCTATCTCAGTTTTTTCATATCTATTTATCTATATATAGTTTTGTCATATCTATCGTACTCTTTTCATATCTATCTATATATTCATCTATCTGTATATCTATCTATTTGTCTATCTATCTATCTATCTATCTATCTATCTATCTATCTATCTATCTATCTATCTATCGCAGTTTTTTCATATTTATTTATCTATCTATATATAGTTTTGTCATATTATCATACTCTGTTCATCTCTCTCTCTCTCTCTCTCACTATCTATCTTTCTATCTATCTATCTATCTATCTATCTATCTATCTATCTATATATATATATATATACAAAGAGAATGAACGAGAGAGAGAGAGAGAGAGAGAGAGAAGGAGAGAGAGAGAGAAAAAGTGTGAGGAAATCGTGCTAAAAAGAGAAGACAAACATTTCTTCACGTTCAACTCTGTTTGATTCGCACTATAATTTTGAAACTTCTTTAAGCGACCCAATAAAATTGATCAGGTCTTAGGAAAAAAAAAACTCGTCTTCAGTTTGTCCATCTGAAATACGTGAAATAAAATGTAATAAACAAATCAAACGACTCTTATGTGCCGACTGTCATTTTACGTACACATCAATTCGTATCATCGACTTGACATTGACAAAGTTAGATGAGCCACGTGATTTTAACCCCCCGTTGTCTGCTCTTTGTCACGAATTTCATTTTTTTTTCCGACATACCCACCCACACATGCACGCGCACACATACATGCACTCATATATATATATATATATATATATATATATATATATATATATATATATATATATATTGTGTGTGTGTGTATGTATATCAATGAGTTAGCAGGAAATGTTCATGGAACAACTTACCTCCTAGCGGCGTAGATTATTTGAAAAGGGCATCTTTATTCATTAAAATCCTTACGGCATCTCTTCATATATATATATATATATATATATATATATATATATATATATGAAGAGATGCCGTAAGGATGTATATATATATATAATATATAATTTATATTTATATAATATATAATTATAATATATATATATATATATATATATATATATATATATATATATATTGATTTAAAATATGGTTTTTTTCCTACACAGTTCTAACAATGTTTCAAAAATGGAAGCTAAAAGCCACAAATTTAATTTTGCAATTAAATTAAAGACATTAGTTCCATTTCATCTTCCTTTATATATATATATATATATATATATATATATATATATATATATATATATATATATATATATATATATATATATATATATCTTTTATGCCAATGTCTACTCTGATGGTACATTTTCTTTATTAAGATTTTTTGTGTGACCAGGCCGATAGATGTCATTACACACTTTAAAATACGAACGTGGCGTTTATTTCAAAGACGAGTACCCACCAACTATAACGTTTTGATGTTTATACATATATAGGAAGCACGGTGGAATAATGAATAGCGTCTTTGATTGAGGCATTGGAGAGCCGAGTTCGAATTCCAGTCAAATCCATTACATTGCGTGCTAATACCGTTGCGAAAGGTCTGAATCCTCCTCTTCTTCTCCCTTCAGCTGTGGGTAAATAGCAGGACAGACTGGGTTCTGGCAACTGGTCTAGGAGAAGGACGTTTGGAGACCCTATTTGGCCCTTCAAAACATGTGGATGGTCCTGCACGAAACATTCACCACTATAATCAAATCTCATGTGGATGTAGGGCAGACCTTGTAACTGCTCTGGGGAAGAAGCTCCATTGAAAATTTCATACAATTGGCTGCTCATTACATTAGAATAGCTACCATTCAGATGTGTTTTTAAATATGCGGATGGTGCAACAAGAAGTCCGACTGCTTTAACAGGTCCGTTTTGTGTGAAAGGGAGTATCATGATTTGCCACAAGTAGAATTTGTGAAAATCAGTGGCCCTATTGATAATATATGTTAGAATTTATCAATCAATCCCAAAATGGAATGTGTGAACCTGCAACCTATGAAGAAAATTTCAAAATATGAAATTCAAGCATATTGTATGAATAACACAAAATTTGAGTTGCCTGAATTTCCTTCACATCTTCAAAGTGTTGAAAGAGCAGTAAAATTTACATCTGAAGGTTCACATGTTTGCGGATTTGAAGTAAAAACATAATCACATTCTTGTAAGAAATTTGTCATCAACTAAGACTTTCCTATTTTTCTAAAGGCACTTACACTGAAAATTTTGAAAATTTTTCTATCTACTGTTGAAATAATAACATTTTTCAATCAAACATTGCCAAAATGAATGGCTTTTTAAACGCATTTTCAATACCGATTTTTGATTGCATTTCCTCAAAAGGGGCTTTAAGCTAGGAATATAAAATTTGATGTCAGTTTTTATCATATTAAGTCCCAACTATGTAGATTTTGCCAAAGTTGATTTGGTAAAAAGGGTTGTCGGACTCTCGGTTTCCTTGGAACTGATCTGCTTGACCCTCATACGAATTCGACGTGAGAGTCGTGTATGAATATATAAAATTATATATACATATATAAGCACACACACACACATATATATATATTCACTTTTTGATTTCCTATAACTTCTTGTTTTTTTCTTTCTTCAGATGCATACATTTAATTTCATGTAATATTAAATTAAACCGTTACTCTTCTTTGTAAGCCAATAATTCTTAATTTTAACCATTTATCTTGTTTGCACGTCAATAAAAAAAACTATATGTATATATAAGGGTTGGTCAGTTTTTAAACCAGACTTTGGGACATATCTAGATGTTTGGGGCATTACATCATAAAAGGATACAAAGAATATTTTACGTTAAAATTTTGATTCCATTTGAAGAAATGCAATTAAAATCAAATTAATTCATATCTGGTAGATCGTTGCGGTGTTAACCAAAATAAATAACCAGATGAAATAACCGGATTGTTCCTTGCTAAGAAATAAAGTGATTGTAAATCATTTGAAATTTCTTTAAAATACTGGAAAAGATAAACATATAAAATAGTTCACATATAATTGTTATAAGAAATAAAATGCTTTATAAATTTTTCTTTAAAATAGATTTTTTACGTGCAATATTTATTGCAATATCGATATATTCAAATCGCAGGTAATGTTAAGATCAATTAAAACCAATTTTTTTACTTTATTATTTTCCTGAAAGAAATTTTTTTCCAACGAATTCAGTAAAACCATTAATAAATCATAAATATGTCCGAATTTATTTTAAGTGATAGTTTTATTTTGGAGAAAACTAAAAGACAAAAAACGTCACTTTCTCTTTTTACTTTTCATTGACCGGATTTAAATTTCGTGTGTGATTATTTGTCTTTACACCGTGCGTTCTTTTCTTTCTTTTTTTTAGGTATCGGAAGCTTTTAAGAAATATAAGGTAAAGAATATTACTTTCAAATTTTTGAAGTAAAATATACTTTGACAGTATAGTTTAAATTATTATTATTTCCTAGGGTAATCTTTACTCAAACGTTTTATTAAAAATTTGGAAGAAAAAACGAAATATAGGGGAGATGTTTCCTCTAATCTTGGAGTATCTCTTGCTAATGCCTTTCTCTTGGATTTACAGGTTATGGACTTTTTTTCTTTTTTTTAACCCGGGGCTTGATTTTAAAAACATTACAATTGATAAGTCAAAAATAGATAAAAGGCTAAAAGTAATGACACATAAAAGATATTAAAGTGAGATATCAAAAAGCTTGAACTTTTAGGAATTGATAGCGAGATTAATGAAGAAACTTTGTTTTACAGTGTAACCCGGATATAAGAGAGTTGTTGGGACCGGAGAAGAAGTCTCTTATATCCGGGTCGGGTCTAATTTATATACATTAACACAGGCTCTAATTTGGGACCAGAGAAAATCTCTCTTATATCCGGGTTTCTCTTATATCCGGGTTGTACTGTATAAAGAGATTGTAGGGTAAAAGGTGATATTAAACTAAAAAAAAGAAAGCAGCCAAGAACAGCATTTAACATTTCCCCAAGAGACTGGAACTAAGACTGGGAAATACCTGATTCATAAAGTAGTTTCAGCTTTTAGTTTTTTGTAAGAATTTGATAGTATAGACAACATTAAGTCTTTTTTTCTGGACAACACAAATACAAATTCTGGATGTAGGGTAGACCTTGTAACTGCTCTGGGGAAGAAGCGCCATTGAAAATTTCATACAATTGGCTGCTCATTATATTAGAATAGCTACCATTCAGATGTGTTTTTAAATATGCGGATGGTGCAACAAGAAGTCCGACTGCTTTTACAGGTCCGTTTTGTGTGAAAGGGAGTATCATGATTTGCCACAAGTAGAATTTGTGAAAATCAGTGGCCCTATTGATAATATATGTTAGAATTTATCAATCAATCCCAAAATGGAATGTGTGAACCTGCAACCAATGAAGAAAATTGCAAAATATGAAATTCAAGCATATTGGATAAATAACACAGAATTTTATTTGCCTGAATTTCCTTCACATCTTCAGAATGTTGAAAGAGCAGTGAAATTCACATCTGAAGGTTCACATGTTGTTTGCGAATTTGAAGTAAAAACATAGTCACATTCTTGTAAGAAATTTGTCATCAACTAAGACTTTCCTATTTTTCTAAAGGCTCTTACACTGAAAATTTTGATGATATGATTATATAAATACTTGTATTGGATTAGTTTTCATGTAATATAAAATTTATTTATTAAAATAACTTTCTATCTACTGTTGAAATAATAACATTTTTCAATCAAATGTTGCCAAAATGAATGGCTTTTTAAACGCATTTTCAATACCGATTTTTGATTGCATTTCCTCAAAAGGGGCTTTAAGCTAGGAATATAAAATTTGATGTCAGTTTTTATCATATTAAGTCCCAACTATGTAGATTTTGCCAAAGTTGATTTGGTAAAAAGGGTAAAATCGACATCCCTAGGGTATTTTCAGGTAAAAAATTCAACCGACCATTTTGCGGGGTATGCAACTATCTATTAGAGGGCCATGAATTTTAGTTCAAAGATGCATCAAAATTCAAAATGATTTCTCGTACGGCTCAGAGAATTTAATATCCATAATTATATGCGATATTATATATATATATATATATATATATATATATATATATATATATATATATATATATATATATCCAAGAGGATAAAATCCAGGTAGAGCACTATGTCAAAGACGGAGTAAGAATATAATATCAATGGTTCAAACACTAATATTCCATGATTATAATTTATTAAATTGGAATCGTAATCACGATCCAATTCATCAGACCTACAAATTCAAAAAGAAAACTGAAAATACATATCCGTGTATAAAAAAACAAAATTTTACTGAGAGTGTAAGTGTGGCAGTGAGGAACAAGGGTGAGAGAGAGAAATATATGAAAGATGTAGAGAGTGGTGTAACGGAAGAAAGAAAAACAGGA